GAGATGAGAGAGAGATGAGAGAGAGATGAGAGAGAGATGAGAGAGAGTTGAGAGAGAGATGAAAGAGAGATGAGAGAGATGAGAGAGAGATGAGAGAGATGAGAGAGATGAGAGAGACAGTGAGGATGAGAGAGAGAGAGAGACAGTGAGAGTGAGAGTGAGAGTGAGAGTGAGAGTGAGAGTGAGAGTGAGAGTGAGAGTGAGAGTGAGAGTGAGAGTGAGAGTGAGAGTGAGAGTGAGCGAGTGCGGCCGCAAGATACGCAACGCTAACCACATGCCAAAGAGCGACGACAGGACGGAGTCGAACTTGCGAAGAGGGAGGAGGGAGGGAAGGTGGAAGGAAGACAAGGAGACAAGGAGGAGGAGAGGGGAGGTGGGGAGTGGGGGGAGAGGGGGGGGGGGCTTCGACCTGAAAAATCAGGGGTTAGGATTTGCACCCGATCGAAAGAAACCTTGTTATCGCAAGAGTAACTCCAGCTAGCTTCGCTAGCTTTCGTGAAAACACCACCCCAACCGACCCGGTTCCGACCAAACCCAAACCCCTTTGAACGTCCCAAATGAAGAAGCACTCCACAAGTCTATGCACCATAAGAACCCGGGGCCCAGAGCCCCACTCCTAAGTTGCTCTTCAGCGGCCTGATGCATTTTGAGGCTTCCTACAGCGAAGAAAAGAATCGGCTACGCTCAAGAAGGTCTCGTTTTAGTCTGCTGTTACTGTCCCTAGGGATGATTGGAGACTATTTATGCAGGCTTGGAGGGCCCAAGTACCTTCTGAGAAGGTATGTGGATCCCTAGGGTGTGGCTGTTCTCTTGAGCGACAAAAAGCCTGCCCCTGGGTGCGGATTCAGCTTCAGCTGCACACCAGGGCCAAGCTCTTCCAAGTGTTCATCAAAGACCTCACCTCACGGGTGGAAGACATTGACTGGATTATGGAAGTGAAGAAACATCCTGCACCACCAAGTTCTTTTTTCCTGAACATCCTCAATCTCGTTGTTTGACCCTTTTGTCTCACTGTCTCACTGTCATGCAGGATGACGGCCCATGTCTCATCGACCAATTCTTCCCAAAGGCCCCCAAGCAACTTGGCAAGCAAACTGGCTGTTAGCACCTCAATCCCAACCAACAAACATCCCAAAGTGCCTCGTCGTTCCCCAACCCTTCTGCATCCAAAACTCGTGCACCTGCGCACCACCCAGAAACACCCTCCTGGACCCAGTTCCATCTGGCTCCCCGCCTTGCCAGCCACGGCAAATGTAGAATTGCTCTACCCCTTGGCGTCTTAGCGCCTTCAGGGTGTGGGCCACCAGGGGCTTCCCCGCAATGCTGATCAACGCCTGCCAGAAAAGGACTCAGACCGATCGTCCCACGCACTTCCCGATCGTCCCACGAGAACAAAAGGTCCGAAAATGACCATGAACTTCGCAAGAAGATGTGTGGTGGAAACATGTGGTGAGTAAACAAATTCAGGTAAAAAAGAAACACCACAAAAGGGATCCTTCAAAATTCTGCATTTTCCAGTTGCCCTCAGTTTCTTGGAGATCTCCCCCCACCCCAGCGGACCCCTTCGGTGCCATTGCTTCAACCTCCGCGCGTTCTCACCGCGCCGTGGGCAACGTGTCGGTGTAGGGCACCAGTCGTGCCCCACGGCCCGCTGCCAGGATCACAGCGGCCGGTGCCTGGTCGGGTTAACCGGCTCGCCGCGGCCGGGTCGGGTCTGGAGACCGAAGGAAGGAAGCGGTACCTTCGGTACCTTCGTTCTTGAGATCTACAAGGTGTGGGGTTTGGAAGATGCGTTTTTTATGATGGAGTGGGTGGCTCAATCAATTCAATGCCTAACTCGGCATGCGCAGCAGCATGAGGTCTTCTTGAAAAGGATGACTATGACATGTGCCGCTGTCCTTCTCCTCATCCTTGTACCCATTCTGCGCCATTGCGAGGAAACCACTAAGAGGTTCCTAAGCACCTACCTGCCTATGCCGTTTTCATCCCGCTTGCTTGCCATCTGATCGGATAGTTCTCAGTTGTTTCTGACAGCCAAGTTCGCCTATGCGATTGATGCGCACATCATGGTTCGCACGTGACATGTCAAACTGGTCAAACTCTGCTGGGGACTGCCTCTGCTATCCTTGTTTGGCCAATCTGGGCTTGGGCCAGCTGACAACCGGCGAGCCACCTCTCGAAGCATGGAATTGCTTGGCCCCGATCTGCTGCTTCACCGCATCTTGTTACATTCGTTCAACACAAGATCTGCGAAACGCGCAGAGTGCAAGTGCTCTGAGTGAAGCCATTGCGCTTCAAGGTTCACACATTTCATTGACAACGTCTCCCTCCCGCGACGTTCGCATGCCCACGATGACAAGAGTGCTTCCTGGTCTGACTGGAGGTAGGAACCATAGGCCGGATTCATCCTAGGCGAGGCAAACGATCAAACGACAGGGGCCATATTGGGTTGGATGAAGATCCGATCCCCGTTTACAGAGTTCGGTCTTAAGGCCTATAGGTCTTGAGTCTTGACTCGCACCCCATGCAAGTGTCCCAGCTCCCAGTCAAAACAACTCCCAGTCATCCAAAGATTGGTATGCTGCCGCATTTGTCCAGTCATCAGACGATTTGCGCGAATGAAAGCATTCGGTCAAACTAGAAACCATAAGAACATGGCCCATGTTCCAGCATGGCCCGTATCTGGCCATGTTATGCCATGTCCATTTCGATTCCACAAGGCTTGTCCCTCCAGTTCTGAAGGTTTATTCGGCCCCATAAGGCATTGCCTGTGGTTGGAACAGATCTCTGCAATCCCAAAACTGTGCCAAAAACCCGGGTTCGCCCACGCATCGAACGATTACCGGCGGTGAGGCGTCCTACGACCCTACCGACCAAGAAGCGACAAAGACCGACGATGGAAACACGGAACAACCGACACCAAGAACTCCCATACCTCACCGTCAGGTGGCTGAGACCGACGGGTGGGTCGGCGCTGACCCTGGTGGGTCGTGCGGCCGCCCCGGTGGGCCGGGTGGCTGGAGAACCTGTCGCAGGAACATGGCGCCCGGATCCGGGTCCTGGCGGGGACGGGAGGCGGGACTGAAGACGTCCGGCGTCCTGGGAGGCCCTGAAAATCGAGAAAAAAATGGTTTTTGGAAGTTTGACTCAGCTGTTCTTGTGGAGGTGCTTCTGCATTATACACGCATTGTTTGGTGTTTTTGCGCCAAGACATGTACGAAGGTTTGAACTATAGTACTGCCATGCAGTTCTGGGTCATCGGGCTGGCCACCACAGCCATCAACCAACAAGAACCCGTGAAGGCCCCATTCAAGTTTTCTGTTCCATCATCTTTGTCAGATCTTCAACAAATCACGATGAATGACACCGCTACCTGCCTTCACCGTGTTCATCATCCATCTCTCTAGCTCAGCCTTCTCCGGCCATGCCCTGGGCTATTGGGCTCGCCCCAACTCAAACATCATTCATGTGCTTGAATGCTCCTTGCAACAACCACCCCACAGTCAGCAACACAAGTAGTCAACTAGTCTACAACGGATTCAACACCTTTTTGGAGAATGGAATTCACATGTCTCGATCTCCGTCCAAACCGTGGCAATCCAATGCGTTTTCCTCCCGCTCCGCCGCTGAGGCTCCGGACTCCGGATCTCCCGACATCGAGTGAAACCGAGGCCCGGTGCTTCTTCGGGGCCCGTCTCCCGGCCACGGTGTGCCGGGGGCGACTCGAGCCGGGCGACGCAGGAAGCGACCCCAACGAAAAAATGGACTGAGTTGGTGCAAAAACCTTGCAACAAACAGACATGGGCGACAAGAAACTGATGACTGGTTGGAAGATGCCTGGCATGTAATTGGGACAACCAAAACAGTCGACAACACACTCCCTGTTTGATTTTACCCTACTTCCTCCAACGGCACGGGATACACCACACAGCAACTCAAGTGATGGGGATTAGACCACTCCATGTTGAAATCACGAGTCCACCCAATTGAACTGCCCAATTTGTCAAAAAATTGTTGAATTCCAATTGCTCCTTACACCCCCTAGTGAATCTTTTCAATGGTTCATGTTTGAAGAACAAATTGTTAAATTTGATGAATCGTCTGCGAACGGTTCTCCGTAAAGGGCTGCCAAATTTAAGTGTCCAACTAGCATCATGATCCCCCTTTTCATCATCAAAGACATCACATCCTGCATCAACATCATGATCAATTGTCACCACCATGATCATCATCCTCATCACTATCATCATCACCACCAACATCATAATTATCATCATCATCATCATCCTCATCATCATGGCATATCATTGTTGTCACAATCATCCCTATGATCATCGTAACAACGTCATCATCATGTGCATCACACTCAGCATGATCATCATCACACCATTGGGGAACATCATTGTCATCACCATTTGAAGTTGCAAAGAGATTGGGTGAGACGACGGACCAAGCGTGTTCATCATCAAGTGCACAACTGAAAGGGACACATGCTGCAACACACCTGCACGATGCACGGTGCTCTGCGGCAATCGTGCGGGTCAGATGCCCGAAACTGTGTCAAAATGCAAATCGTCGTCCGTAGCAAGCCCGTCAAGTGCTCAAACAAGGGCACATTTGGGCTGCAGGTCGAGCCAATGCTTCTGTAGACAGCACCCATTTTTTCACAATTTGCGCGCGCAACTTGTTTCATCAGAAATTGTGCCCTTCCATGGCCCACTGCCCTACAAACTTGCTCGATTGAAAATGCAGCGGCAGACCGCTTCAAAAATCAACATGTTTTTTGTCTTCTGGGTTCCACACCATTTCTTTGCAACAACCTTCCACATGTTGATGGGCACAAAGTTTTCTGTTGGCTCTGTTTCCGCATTGCGCTTACGGCTGAAATTGAACAGATTGCAAACTGAGTTACAGTCAGTTCTGTAAACTGTCAAACAGTCTCCTGAGGTTCTGGACTTCTCCAAGCCACACCAGCCACAAACCTCCAAAAAGGCTGTTCTGCCGGTCAAAGCATCACCAACAAAGGACCACACAAGGAGAGGGGAGCGGGGTGGCTGAGGATCGATGAGGAGCGGAGTCGCGCCTGAACAGAAGGGCGGAAGGGAGGATCGTTCTCTCTGGTTTGGCCAATGCAAACAGCCCATAGGACCACTGACTGTGAGAATTTGGGAAGCTCAGCTATGGACAGATGAAGCCACTGAAAGATCCCCAGCTTCTGATGCCAACATCCTTGTCAAAGCTGTCGATGGCACCATGAACAGCTCAGCTGCTGCACTCCATTCCGATTCACAGACTGTCAGCATCTCATCCGAAACCCCAATGCCGTGACCCTTTCACCGAACCACCACCTCCGTAGCCATTTTGGCTCAAGCAACATGTCGGCTCAAAGCTCTCTGCAAACGCAGTTGAGTAGGAGGTTCAAGGCTACTTCTTAAAGAGAAGGAGTTGCCTCCGTGGTAGTCGGCCCCATAGTTAGGCTAGTTAGTGTCGGTTCGGTCGTTAGGTTTGCTGTCCTTGGCTATAATTCTCTCGTAGTGTCCTTAGACGCTGTCTTGAGATCATTCGTAATCAAGTTTCGACGCTATCCCTGGTGGTGTCCTTAGACACTGTCTTGAGAGGACGCTTTCGACAATTTTGTCTGAGTTGGGTCTTCCTCTTGCGGTGCCCTTAGACACTGCCTGAGGATAAAAGACCCCCTTACACAGTCTTGTTCCTTTGCCGATCTTGTCCAAATTAATACAGACTGTCAAAGCGAGGCTTCAGTTTCGCCTTTGCGCTGTTTCGTCCATCATGTCAATGAAAGAAACAGTATGTGCTAAAGCAGTCCATTTACGATGATGTGCTCTTATCCTTTGAATCAAAAGGATGTCTGGGAAAGCTTTTTGGTTCCTCTTTGTCTGTTTTACCACGTGTCTTCTTATTTTGTCGTTTTCCCAGCGTGATACGTACTGACCTTTTTAGCAGCAATCTCCTTATTGTAGGAGAAGATGAGGTTAATTGTGTTCTTGCTGCAGTTTCAGGTAAACAACCTGTCTCGGTAGTCATTTATGGGATACAGAGCCATTTGCAAGAGCAGATTTTGCAGCTATTTTCACTCCAATGACCATCTTCGACAGATTTTGCTCTTTCACGCGCGCTTTCTCAAGTTGTCCTTCCCACGAATTGTTCAAGAACATGTGTGGGCATAAACGTTCGCAGGGCGTGGAGAACA